TTGCTATTGCTATTGCTATTGTTTAATGAAAAGAAGGACTAGGGGAGACATGATAGCAGCCTTCCAATATCTCGGGGGCTGCCACAAAGAAGAGGGGGGGGGGGTTCAAGCTATTCTCCAAAGCACCTGAGGGCAGGACAAGAAGCAATGGGTGGAAACTAATCAAGGAGAGAAGCAACTTAGAACTAAGGAGAAATTTCCTGACTGTGAGAACAATTAATCAGTGAAACTGCTTTCCTCTAGGTTGTGATTGCTCCAACACTGTAAGTCTTTAAGAAGATGTTGGATAGCCATTTGTCTGAAACAATATAGGGTTTCCTGCTTGAGCAGGGGGTTGGACTAGAAGACCTCCAAGGTCCCTTCCAACTCTGTTATTCTATTATTCTGTTTATTGCTTTAAAAAGTTGCGGCTTTTGCTATTCTTTATACAAAACTGGAAGCAACCTGAGTTAAGGAGAACTATCCAATATCTCAGGGGCTGCCCCAAAGAAAGTCAACCTATTCTCCAAAGCACCTGAGGGCAGGGCAAGAAGCAATGGGTGGAAACTAATCAAGGAGAGAAGCAACTTAAAGCCGAGGAGAAATTTCCTGACTGTGAGAACAATTAATCAGTGAAACTGCTTTCCTCTAGATTGTGAATGCCCCAACACTGGAAGTTTTGAAGAAGATGTTGGATAGCCATTTGTCTGAAACAATATAGGGTTTCCTGCCTAAGCAGGGGGTTGGACTAGAAGACCTCCAAGGTCCCTTCCAACTCTGCTATTCTAATATCCTGATGCTTCTGAGACTAATAAGCGAAGGAATGAAAGCTGAATCCCCTATCAGACCTGTCGCAGGGAGCTGATGGTCCAGGGTGGGGCCGGATGGCCACACTTCACCCCACAATAATAACCTACTTACACATGTGAGGTGTTACTAAGCAGATGCCATTTCTGGCTCGCGTGACGCCATGCACCAGGCAGGCCTCCCGCCTGGCGGTTGCGAACTCGATAAAGGGAAGGAAAATGTTACTTGCAAAAGATTTCTTTTAAAAAGAAAAAGGGGAAGAAAAAAAAGCATTTCCAGAGCATTTGCTTTGCCGCGGCGTGACAGGAAATCAAATCCAATGTGCAATTAATTGGGGGGGGGGGAGCGCAAAAGAAGATGCCGTTTCTGGAACAAAGGTATTTTCGGGCGGGCGTGACAGAGAAATCCATTTGGCACGCTGGTTTCCAGGCAGGCTGTTGGAGCA